GCTGGAATACAGTGGTTCGATCTCAGCTCACTGCAACCTCCACCTGCTGGATTCAAGCAATTCTCCTGCCTCAGTCTCCCGTGTAGCTGGGATTAGAGGCACATACCACCACACCTGGCTAGTTTTTTGTATTTTTTTTTTAAATTACATTTTAGGTTTTGGGGTACATGTGCAGAACATGCAAGATAGTTGCATAGGTACACATGTGGCAGTGTGATTTGCTGCCTTCCTCCCCTTCACCCACATCTGGCATTTCTCCCCATGCTATCCCTCCCCAATTCCCCCCCCACCTCTGTCCCTCCCCTATTCCCCCCAACAGACCCCAATTTTTTGTATTTTTAATAGAGATGCTGTTTCACCTTGTTGGCCAGGTTGGTCTGGAACTCCTGACCTCAAGTGATCCATCCACCTTGGCCTCCCAAAGTACTGGGATTATAGGCATGAGCCATCATGTCCAAACAGATTCACCAATTCTTAACATTTTGCCACATTTGCTTTAGTTGTCTCTATCTCTCCCTTCTTCCTTCCCTCTTTCTCTATCTCCACATAGATGTCTTTCTTATTTCCTAAACCAATTGCGAGTTAGCTGTAGGCCTCATAACATTTCACCCTAAATACGTCAGCGTGTATCGCCTAAGATATTCTCTGATCGTCTTATTCTCACAATTATCATCCTCAGAAAACTTAACATTGATAAAATACTGTTATCTAATATACAGCCCATATTTTTTCCCTGACTGTTCCACTAATGTCTTTATTTAATTAATTAATGTTTTTAAGAGACAAGGTCTTGGCCAGGTGAAGTGGTTCACACCTGTAATCCCAGCATTTTGGGAGGCCGAGGTGGGTGGATCACTTGAGGTCAGGAGTTTGAAACCTGCCTGGCCATCATGGTAAAACCCTGTCTCTACTAAAAATACAGAAATTAGCCAAGCATGGTGGCATGTGCCTGTAATCCCAGCTACTCAGGAGGTTGAGGCAGGAGAGTCACTTGAACCTGGGAGGTGGAGGTTGCAGTGAGCCGAGATCACACCACTGCACTTCAGCCTGGGCAACAAAGTAAGACTCTGTCTCAATAGAAAAAAAAAAAAAAAAAAAAAAGACTCTGCCTCAAAAAAAAAAGACAAGATCTTGCCACATTGCCAAGACTGGTCATGAACTTCTGGGCTCAAGAGATCCTCCTGTCTTGGCCTCCCAAAGTGCTGGAATTATAGGTGTGAGCCACATCCAGCCCTATTAATGCCTTTTATAGCTGTTTTCTTTGCTGCGTATCAGTGTCAGTGTATGTGTGTTGTTCCAGCGTCCAATCAGGGATCATTCATTGCCTTTAGTTTCCACGCCTCTTCAATTTCCTTTGAACTAAAATCTTCCTTCTTTCAAACAAAACAATGCTTTCCTTAGACTTCCAACTTCTACACCTAACCATTGTGCTAGCTCTTCTCTCCTTACCTTGACAGTCACATGTTTTATAAAGAAGAGACTCAGCAGTCTTCATATCTTCACCTCCATCTTTAACATGCTGCAGGCTGGGCACGATGGCTCACGCTTGTAATCCTAGCCCTTTGGGAGGCTGAGGCAGGTGGATCACTAGATCAAGAGTTCAAGACCAGCCTGGCCAACACAGTGAAACCCTATCTCTACTAAAAATACAAAAATTAGCTGGACATGGTGGTGGGCACCTGTAATCTCAGCTACTTGGGAGACTGAGGCAGAATAGCTTGAACCTAGGAGGTGGAGGTTGCAGTGAGCAGAGATTGCACCACTACACTCCAGCCTGGGGGACAGAGTGAAACTCCATCTCAAACAAACAAACAAACAACACTATGCTGCAGTATGGCATCTACACCCCCCAACCCTTTCATGATCCTCACTTGCCAGATTTCCCTCCTGCCCCTCTGGTCACTTCTTGGGTTCCTTTGCAGGCTCCTCTTCCTGTGCTCATCCTGTAAATCCTACAGTTCTTCAGGACCCTGTTTTAGACTTGTTGCTCTTTCTACTGTTTATGCTTTCCCTGGGTGACTTTTTGTTGTTGTTGAGATAGGGTCTCACTCTGCCACCCAGGTTGGAGTGCAGTGGCCTGATCTTGGCTCACTGCAACCTCCACCTCCTGGGTTCAAGCAATTCTCCTGCCTCAGCCTCCCTGCTGAGTAGCTGGAACTACAGGCGTGCACCACCATGCCCGGCTAATTTTTTTGTATTTTTAGTGCAGACGAGGTTTCACTGTGTTGGCCAGGCTGATCTCGAACTCCTGACCTCAGGTAATTCACCTGTCTTGGTCTCCCAAAGTGTTGGAATTATAGGTGTGAGCCACTGTGCCCGGCCCCCTGGGTGATTTCATTCTTTGTGGTGGGAGAAATGGGAGTTGGGTTTCATTTACCACGTATTTGCAGCCCAGGCCTTTCCAACTTCAGTTTTGAATATTCAGTGGCCTCCCCAGCATCTGAATCCATGTAGAAATCTCACAGGTACCTTGAAGTAATATGTCCAAAAAAAGAACTGATTATCCTCCTCCTGCTTGGTCCTTGTACTGTGCTTTCTGTCTCAAAAATAAAAAAGGCATCCCTCATTCATTACCGGAGCCAGATGAAGAGAAGTTATTTTTGACACATCCTTTTGACATCATCCATGACACATCTAATCAATCACTATACTCCACTGATTCTACCTCCTTAGAATCTCTGGAATCCATCTACTTCTTTCTGTTCTCACCACCTCATTCAGGCTGCCATCATCTCTCCTAGGAAGGAAGATTTCAGCAACCTCATAATCCTTTCCCCAAGCTTCCAGCTGTACTCCATTCTAAACTCTCCTCCACCCTGGACTCTGATTTTCTGAAAATGCAAATCTATTTAAAAAATTGTTCAGTTAATTTCTCACAGCTCTCAGGATAAAGTCCAAATGCTTTAACTTGGCCTATATGCTGGAGTGAAAGTCAAGATGTTTTAGAGCTGGTAAGGTACAGGCCCTGATGCCAGTTAGAAAGCATGTCAGCTGATTCATCTGACTGGTTTATGCCAGCTAAATAATTCCTTTCCTGTAAAGCCCTATACTCTTCTGCAGTCTCATCTAGGGCCACTCTTCCTCTAAAGTCCCACTGACTTTGTTTTGGTTCCCAGAATGAATCACCAAAAATGTAGTTAACTTTGCCTCGAATACTCTTTTCCTGCGGCTGCACCATCATCCCACCCCATCTTTTTTTTTTTTTTTTCGAGGTGGAGTCTTGCTCTGTCGCCAGGCTGGAGTGCAGTGGCATGATCTTGGCTCACTGCAACCTCTGCCTCCTGGGTTCAAACGATTCTCCTGCCTCAGGCTTCTGAGTAACTGAAACTACAGGTGCAGACTACTGTGATCAGCTAATTTTTGTATTTTTAGAAGAGACAGGGTTTCACCATGTTGGCCAGGATGGTTTTGATCTCCTGACCTCGTGATCCTCCCACTTCAGTCTCCCAAGTGCTGGAATAACAGGCGTGAGCCACCGTGGCTGGCCTCCACCCCATCTTTTAGTTTAGCTTTTTTTTGTAACTCCATCACGTTACTGCCTTAGTCCTCTGAAAGCTTCCAGCTAGTTTTCATACGAATGAGTTTGAAGTCTCCACTTTGCACTTGTATAGAATTTTTTTTTAATTCAAGAGCAAAACTTTTTATTAACTGAAAGCCTATTATGTGCTGAGTTTTGTGGACATAGAAGCTAGGACAAAGTATCAACAGAGTAAAAATGTAAGCTCCAGGAGGAAAGAACTGGGTCTGTCTTGTTCACTAATGAATCCCCATTTCTTTTTATTTTTTTAAAATTCATTAATTTCATTTTTATTTCAATAGCTTTTGGAGTACAAGTGTTTTTTGGTTACACAGACGAATGGTATAGTGGTGAAGTCTGAGATTTTTGTCATCCAAGTAGTGATGAATCCCCATTTCTTGGCTTACTATTTGTGAGGTGAATGAATGAATAAAATAGTTTAAAATGCAGATTTTTCCCATAAGTGAAAAAGTATTTTCTTAGTTCATTAATTTTATAAATTAAGATATTTTGGTCAAGACTGTGACAATCTAACTCCCTTTTCTTTTTCTTTTTCTTTCTTTTGACAGAGTCTCGCTCTGTCACCCAGGCTGGAGTGCAGTGGCATGATCTCGACACACAGCAACTTCCGCCTCCCAAGTTCAAGCAATTCTCATGCCTCAGCCTCCTGAGTAGCTTGGATTACAGGAGCGTGCCACCAAGCCCAGCTAATTTTTATATTTTTAGTAGAGACTGGCATTTCTCCGAGTTGGCCAGGCTGGTGTCAAACACCTTACCTCAGGTGATCCACTCGCCTCGGCCTCCCAAAGTGCTGGGATTACAGGCATGAGCCACCGTGCCCAGCCCTAAATCACTTTCAACTAAACCCTAGAGTTTTTCCTCCTAAGGTAGACCCAATTTCCAAAATAAACTCATATTATATCTTTTAAGGCCAAAGAAAATACTTATATGCTTTATTTGCTGGAGGCCATTATATTCCACTGTTAAAGGGCTTTTGTAAGAACCTGTTTGACCCTTAGTGCAGGGCTTACATCCCAGGGTTAGCAATAACAAGCTATGTGCTTTTTGAGCTCTAAACGCCAAGAATTTCCTGAGCCGAGTTCTATTTGCCCTGAAATGCTGTGGGAGAGAAAAGATTCCTCGGGAGACGTGTGGGTGGCAATAGCTTAGGAGGACCTTGAAATGCTGCATTGGTGTTTGAGCTGCTGCCAGGTGCCCACTGGCCCAGCTCCTCTGGGTCGCAAATCTTCCGCAGACGCCAGATATATGAAATCTGGGGACGTTCAGCTCTCTAAAACCACAGTTAGGCAGGCTCTAGGACCCCTGATTCTTCTCACAGTTTTACTTAGCATTTAGGCTACAGGTGAGGCGTTGGTCGCCATCTTGATATCAAACGCCCGGCAAACCGCTACTGGCGTCCCTCGGTAACCACGGAGACACCCATGCCCCTCCCCTTTTCGTCCTTAGAGGCTGTAAACTACAATTCCCATCAGCCGATTTCCTCTGCTTGAGGGCAAGTTATCTAAATCTGACTCGTCGGCAACCGCAACGCTACCGCAGTGAACTGTGGGAGTTGCGGTTCACGGCATAGCCTCAGTTTTTGCTTCGGGAAGCTTTAGAACTACTAATCCCGTGAGCCAGTGGGCTTTCGCCTGCCCACTGAGAAGCTGATTCTTCTTGGCCCCATCAGCCTGTGCCTGAGAGGTAAGAGAGGGCGGGGGGAAGGAAGAGGAGGCGGGATCCGGGCGCTGCGTTGGCTGCGGCCTGGCACCAAAGGGGCGGCCCCGGCGGAGAGCGGACCCAGTGGCCTCGGCGATTATGGACTCAGCCGAGGCGGTGCTGCAAGAGAAAGCACTCAAGTTTATGGTGAGGAGACGGGGCAGGCGGGGGAATGGCGGAGGCGGTGGCGTTGGCGGCGTTTTGGAGCTCGGGCCTGGGCCGCCAGCCTACTGCCGGACCGGGCAGCGGGACCCTGGGCCGAGGCTGGCGGCAGGGCGGCTGGAGGGACGGGATGGGAGCTCCGGAAAGGAGGCTGGGGATTGCGGAGCGAACCCAGGGGTGGGGGCAGCAGCTCCGCCATCTTGTGGATGAGAGGCCAAGTGACAGCGGGAGCTTAATCGAGGAAGGGGCTCCTGGCTGCGCACGGGGCCCTGGAGGGAAAGGGGCGTGGGGACAGTTACTGAAGAGCGGAGGGAGCTCTGTGGAGAAGCGCCGTGAGGCCGCTGCCTGGGCCTTTCCTGTGTCAGGGTACGAGTAAGGTCCGGGGAGGAGGTGCATTCAGGACTGGGGAGGGGGAGTGCGGGATAGAGAGCAGACAGATCTTACGGGTAGAGGGGAACGGGCAGGGCTGGATATAGATGGATTTAAGGGTGGAGGAGGGAACGCTAGGGCTGGTGACAGGCTTATACTTTTGTAGAATGAGCAGGGAGAATATCCTTTGCCTTGAAGGTGGAATCCCAGCTTGGCCAAACTAATGTTGACAAACTCTGGAAGGGAAGAGGCCTCACTAAAGAAGATAACGACTGGGAATGAAAACGTAGGGCTATAATGACAGTCCCTGGGAGGGGAAGAGCATGTTTACAGTAAACTAGAATTACAAATGTCAGGGAGAAGGATAAATACTCTACTTTGAAAGGAGAAGCTAAATACTGTAGGAAGGGCAAGGTGATGAAAAGTAAGAGGAAGATTGGTCAGGGAAACGGGTACAGGAGATTGGGGGCAAAATGAATGTCTAACGAGTAAGCAAAACAAAATTTGAAGCTAAATTGTGGGAATGTAAAATGTGGAGGCCAGGTGCTTTGTATCATTTTCTGGGAAAGGAAAGGCCGTGGAGAGTTGCAAAGACCCTTAAGAAGTGATGAGATCAGTTGAGAAATTCAGGAGATAAAAAGGGTGGAGGTAGGGAATAAGTCAGTGGTAAGTCAGGATTTGTGATTACCCATCAGTTTTAGGTTGAAGCACAGTGTGAGCAAAAATTGGATTTTGTGGGTGTGTTTAAACCCCTTGGAACCTCTAACTTTGTATCACGCTTTTCTTTTTGCTATGCTTATCTATGGCAAACTTGTATAGTCTGATATTTGATGCTTTTAATCTGATGCTTCTTGTATATCCTAGGTGTAAAACCAGCCTTTGTGGTTACAACTAAAGAGTGATGGAATGCGTAGACTTTAACAGGTAGCCTTAGGGACATGGATATTATTTGCAGTCAAGTCTTGCTATTTCAGAAGTATTGTGACTTGTCCCTCCAATCTTACTCCTTTGCTTAAAAAATAGTTATTTTGTATATTTGCCTAAAATACCATAACAAATCCAAATAAAAATGGATACTAACTTAATTGTATTTTAGGCTTTTAAAGTGCCCCATTTAGAGGGAATACTTCTTCAGAAACTAGTCAAATTTACTAAAACTTTATTTTGCATTAGTGTTTTCAAAAACACCTAATTAAAGTTCAAGGGTATCATTAACAAAATTTTATTGAGCCTGAAGAAGGTTCTTGGATTTCTGCCCAGTGTTAAAATTCTAAATATAAAGAAGAGACCTTGAAGTTTTATTGGACTTTAGAAGTAAGTGAAAGTTACTAGACTTAAGTCAGAAAACTAGTACTGCTTATTTTTGTTTTTCTACTTAGAGGGATGATTTTTTTTTTTTTTTTTTTTTTTGAGACCTAGTTTTGATCTGTCACCCAGGCTGGAGTGCAGTGGCATGATCTCGGCTCACTGCAACCTCTGCTTCCTGGGTTTAAGCGATTCTTCTGCCGCAACCTCCGGAGTAGCTGAGACTACAGGTGCGGACGACCACGCCCAACTAATTTTTGTATTTTTAGTAGAGACTGGGTTTCACCATGTTGATCAGGATGGTCTCAATCCTTGTGGCCTGACCGCCTTGGCTTCCCAAAGTTCTGGGACTACAGGCGTGAGCCATTGCGCCCAGACGAGGGTTGACTCTTAATCCTTATCCTCACACTTGTGTCAGATTTATTGAATAATGTGATTTACAAAACATAAAGAGACATTGTGAGATCATCCCTTTTACTCTCAGTTAGACTTCAGCCTAGGAACATTCTTAGCTACTTAATCTCTGCTTTGTACCAGTGAGTTATGTTTTGATAATGGCCTCCTAGTTGAGTTAAAGTGGATTTGGAGATGATCATGTAATAGTTGCAGCTTTTAGGGGCACCACACGTTATTAAATCTTGAATCAGTTTCCATAGGGAGAAGCCAATTTTTTCTTTAATTTTAGTACTTTCGTTATTGACCTTGCCTGCTGTTCTACAAAAGGTCAACTAGAAGAGGGTCACCAGAATGACACTTTAATAAAAGAAACAGAGAATGAAGAATTTGAGATTGGGTATTCTCTTTCAGTGCAGTAACAGTCTTTACGAATCTAAGTAAGTCACAAATTCATTTGGTGCCATTTACCCTGCTATAGCATGTCTGTTTATTCAGTCAATTTTAAGAAAGGAAGATGATTGGGCACGGTAGCCCACACCTGTAATCCCAGTATGTTGGGAGGCCGGGGCGGGTGGATCACCTGAGGTCAGCAGTTTGAGACCAGTCTGGCCAACATGTGAAACCTCATTTCTACAAAAAATACAGAAATTAGCAGGGTGTGGTGGCAGGCACCTGTAATTCCAGCTACTTGGGAGGCTGAGGCAGGGGAATTGCTTGAACCTGGGAGGCACAGGTTGCAGTGATTTGAGATCACCCCATTGCACTCTTGCCTGGGAGGCAAGTGAAACTCCGTCTCAAAAAAAAAAAAAAAGGAAGGAAGATACTTGAGCTAGCATCAAATAATTAATGCACAGTACACATGGAATAACTATTCTTTTAATCAAACTGACATTTTTGTTAGTATTTGGCTTTGTTCTGGTCTTAACCTTTCCCTCAATTGTGAATCAATAATGACAACTTTTATGCAGATGCCATAATTTCCATAGTTTAAGCAAATATAAAATTGGTTTAAAATGCCAAAATGAAATGAATCCTCTCACAGATTTGCTCATTGCTATTAATGTGCTTTGATAAGGAATTTTACAATAAAATCCTATTAATGAGACTGTTGATTCAGAGATAACTATAAATCACACATGATCGAGACTTAAAGCTTATTGTTTTATTTGTGAAAAAATAGTTTAAGCAGAATGTTTAGCTTTTAAAAGTAAATAAATGATATTGAAAGCAACCGTTTACATGAAATAACTTATGTGCTAATGTCTCTCATTTAACTTTAGCAGGTCCTCAAGGACCTTTCCTAATACTTCTTTGGTTAGCAGAAGTATAAATGGAAACCTAAGAAGAGAAATGAAAATGATTGTGGGAATATAGGCCCCAAAACACACATACACACACACACTCACACACACACACACACACACACACACACTCTCTCTCTCTCTCTCTCTCTCTCGCTCTCTCTCTCTCTCTCTCAATATAGGGGATGAAAAGACAACCTGAGGAGGAATTTGAACTTTATTTTTACCTGTAAGACAGGGTCTTGCTGTGTTGCCCAGACTAGAGTGCAGTCATAGCTCACTGCAGCCTCAGACTCGCAGGCTCACTTGATCCTCCTGCCTCAGGCTCTCGAGTGGCTACAGGCACACACCACTATGCTGGCTAAGTTTTTTTTTTTTTGAGGGTCTCCCTTTGTCGACAGGGGTAGTTTTGAACTCCTGGGCTCAAGGTCCTGCCTTGGCTTCCCAGTGTTGGGATTACAGGTGTGAGCCACCTTGCCCAGCCACGTTTCTTTTTAAAAACAGGGTAAGTATATTCTTATCCAGCCAATCCCAGAATCAAGTAGGTTAGCTTGAAACTGGGTTGAAATAATTTTAGAATGTATATGTTTTATTTGTAGAGCTGGTAAGTGAAACAGTATAAAGGGTAAATAAATATTTGCTGTTTAGCAAACCAACTCAAAACTTAGCATCTTAAAAAACCAATTAATTTTGCCCCTCAGGTCTGATGGTTTTTCTGCTTTACTTGGTGTTGGCTGAGGTGTGGGCATGGCTGCAGTGTTCAAAGTGGCCACATTCACATGGCTAGCCACTGGCTGAGAGTTCAGCTAGGGCTAAAGACCTTCGGTTCTCCTGTATATGGGCCTTTCGCTACCTGGCTGCTTGGATTTCCTTAAAGTGTGGTGACAAGGTTCTAAGGAACATTCCAGGAGACAGGAAGTAGAGACTGACAGTTGTCTAAGTCCTAGATTTGGAAGTCCAAGAATGTCACTATTGGTCACAGCCAGTCAAGGCCAGCCGACAGTCAGACCTGACCTCATGATCTGCTCACCTCTACCTCCCAAAGTGCTGAGATTACAGGTGTGAGTCACCGCACCTGGCCTTGAGTTGGAATTTCTTTCTGAAGCCTTGCTCCTTTCTGCAGTTTGGCTTTCCTTTAAGGAAATCTACTTTTGCATTCCTGCTCCTAGGCTTGTGACCTGACCTGATGCTGTCAATTACAGGACAACACAGAGGTGGAAGAAATTTTTTGTGTTTTGTTAATACAGTCAGCCACAAATAGCTAACAGCTATTCTAGTTGGCCCTTCATATTCGTGGGTTCCACATCTGCTGATTAAACTATTGATTGAAAATATTTAGAAAAAGAGACCACAGTAAAAAATAACAACATAGCAGTAAAAATAGGAATTAACAATACAGTTTAACAACTATTTATAGAACATTTACATTGTGTTAAGTATTATAAGTAACCTAGAGATGATTTAAAGTACAAGGAGGATGTGTGTAGGTTATGTGCCATTTTATATAAGGTACTATAAGAGACTTTATGTGTGGATTTTGGTATCCTGGGGAGAGGATCCTGGAACGAGCTCCCTGCAGATACAGAGGTTTGACTGTATTTATTTAGCATTTGC